AGGTAACGTTTGCAGTGAGAAGCAGCGGTCTATTGTCCTGAACTAAACAGAGGTCAACAAATCTCACTGTAAATAATAAATAGCTAACTTTTGAAGTCATATGTAATATACCATTAACTAGATAAGTGAAATAAGAATACAACTAACAAAATTTTATCAAAGGCACAGTTTGATACTTCTTATACATTCAATTTACAGCCAACTTAGTTTTACATAGCATACAGTTTTAAAAATGAAACTCCAAGTTAAAAATACATTGTTAAAATTCATCCTATTGAATATCAGTGATCACAAAACTGAACAGAGGTCATCACAAAAATTACAGGGTTATTTGGCTTTCCTTACATTTACAAATGTCCTTGTCAACATAATAAATTAAAACGGGGGAATGTAATGGTCATGGTTATTCTTGGCGCTATGCAGTGATAAGACAACACTGTTATATGTTGAATAACAAAGAAAGAATAACTGAAATCTCTGAAAGAATGACTAAGGGTGCTCCCACAATGTCTTCTACTTAGCTTGCTTTCTAGACAGAATTCTCTGAGACATGGTGCAATTATTGTTAGGACTCAAGTTAGTCAGACTTTGTAAACCCAATAATTAGAGCCGTAGAAGACATTGTGGGAGCACCCGAAGGGATCATTACTCCACCTCATAAGAATTTACAGGTTCAGCTAGATACAAATCATTATATGTATTCATGGCAACACAAACTGTTCTTAAACAAGAAATAGGAACAACATGTATCCAGCCTGCCTCCACATACCTGTGAATATGAGATAGTTCAAAATTGTTATGGTAAGGCACTCTGAAGCTCTCAGCCTTCCGAACCCCATTAATGACAGCAAAATGCCCACTTACACACTCACACACATCAGGGCAGTTGCAAGCAGACACAAAAATAAACACCTCCACACAACCATAACAGTTCAGGCCCCCAAGTTTATAAGCAACATATGATGAGTTACTGGCAAAATCACGTTCATACCCCTTGGATGCATAGATCATACTGCCCTTCAAAAGCCTAAAATATACTGATGTATTCTGTGGGTTAATATGTGCAGCCTCCAAAGCATTAACAATATGTCTCCCTTCCCTACCAAATATTTTGTAGTTCCCAACACTGTAGCAGCCTGGAGCAATTTGATCAGTAATTTTCACAGACCGCTTCCGTTTCTTTATGAAGTCTTTTTTTGGACCATCTATTATGGTATTTAGTTTGCGGTGTTGACAGAGAACTTGCCAAAATGTATTACAGAATTGACTGTCAACTGATGTTTTCCCATGAATATTACCTATAATTTTTCCATTCAAATCTTCCATGGGAAAGCATGTATAAACCCACAAAGGCCCCAAGTGGCGAACACAGTTAGGCAGATGAAGAAGCAAATGGATGTTGATGCTACAAAATTTTAGGTGATAAAGTCCTTCAAAATCTTTTACAAACTCTTTAAGCAGCCTTTCTGCCTTCTGAATATTCTGTACAGACACACTATTGGCATTTAAAAGTGATATTGCAGCCACCAACTTCAGATAGTGATAATAATACTCTAATTTCATGATATTTTTATAAATTGGAAGGGAGTAATAGAGAAACCAACACATCAGTTGAGATGCTTTCCGACGATGAAACTCTTCAAGAGTTTGAGCTTTTCTATGAATAAATTTGGGAGGTTTGATTTTTAACAACTCAAGATCAGCAACCCGCAGCACATTCCGAAGAGAAAAGGACTCATCTGAATGATTTGAATCAAAGTGCAGTTGCAAAAGCTTTTTCACTACTCCTGTCACCAAATGCATGGGATCAACTGCGGCTCCCTTTAAAAAATCAGGCATAATTAAATGAAGGGCAGTTGGACCTTTCACACCCTGAACTCCTGTTGCATTTGCAACTTGAAGTGCTTGTCTGGCAAAATTCTCAAACCGGGCAGTAGTACGCAAAGTTAAACGCTCCTGATATGGATACACATGATGGTCAGTTCCAGCCACATTAAGCGTTTCACCTCTTATTTCACAAACTGGGCACCCATAAAAACCACTGAATCCAGCAACATTTAAAAAATTACTTTTTGCTGGAGTGTCACAAACTCCTGCTAAAACAATTGCTTTTACTGGTATGTTAATTCTTTCTAAGTCTGCAACGGAAACTCGCACACCATCAGTGTACAATCTTCTTAATTCTGGCAAGAAAGATCTCATGTACAAGTTTGCAGAAGGTTTATGGGGGCCAAACCATAAGCCTGCCATTAAGACATTTTTCCTTCGGGCTCTCATCCTATATGGCAATTCATTAATCAGAAACATAAAGGGCCAAATACTGTAGTTCTTAGATGAGAAAACTGGAACGCCATCAGTGTACCAGGTCAGAGAAATATTATTTCTATTGCTTAAAAACCCACCCTGACCCTCCTGAGCTTTGTAAACACTTCCATCATAAATATCTTCAATACAGTTATCGGGGCCAGCCCTCACTCGGTTGTGTCTGTGCTGCAGACTGTTGTAAAAGGAATTACGTTTGTACAACTCACGCAACTGCGGTGCCAATGGCAGCTGCACAAAATAATTCTTTTCTCTGTCAACACCACAAACAGTACACAAGGCATCTTCATTTTCCAAACCTGTCATGCACACCGAGCAGTAGAACTTCTTCTTCATGGGCACTTTACCACAGCGAGTAAACTTCCGAAACTTGTGGTAGCTCAACTTGTGAAGGTTTTCAGCAGGACAGTGAAAGTTGATCACCTGCAGAAGATCTTCAATACATGAACCTGTAAGATTGTGGTTGAGCATTAGACTTAACACCATAACCATGCTTTCATTGATTGTAATATTTGCATTGTTGTAGAGGGGTGTGTCTCCAGGAACTGCTTCGATGTCAACACCCTCATCAAACATTTCTTCGTCAGAATCCTCAGGTTCAACATCATCAGGGTTGTTTTCCTCGTTCAGTTCGTCGGCACCAAGTGGATTATTATAATTTTGTCGTCCCTCGTCTCGATCAACTTCTCTGGGCGGTGTGAGGGGCCTAGGCTCAGGCTGTAGACCGCCACGTCTGCGGCCAGCTTGATTTTGAACCTCTGCCTCGCCCCGCACATTTACTACTATTTCTCCTACTTCTCCAAGCTCGCGGTTTACCTCTAGATCGTTGTGAAGCCTGCAAATATAACCAATTGATTGAAAACATTCTATTTGTCACACTATACACAAGAAACTAGAGCGTCACATAACCTGTCATTTCTTCTGTAATATTCGTCGGCTGCGGCAGCTTCAGCATTTGCATGGCCTCTTATGTGTCGTACAAGATTGGCCCGCGCCGACCTCCTCAGATTGGCATGCACGCGCTGTGTTTTGGGCATGCTCAACGTTGAAAAATATACAAGTTTTGCTAACGCACAGCAAAAACAACAATCGGCAATGCCGAAACAAACAGCTGACGAGTGAGAGCGAGCGGGCACGGGGAGGGGGGAGGAAGAGGAGAGACAGGTGACGGATATGAGAGATCGCAATTCAACATAGCCAGCTTTAAATATGTAAGATAATTCAGTTAGTTAAGACAAAAATTATCCACATTTGAGGTAAGACCAGTTTTCATTCCTGAGGACATTTCGTACATATTGATCCGGGTAAAGGCAAATTTATACCCTCAAAAACCTTTAATTTATTTATACTCGGTTACGATCTTGAGAAGAAGCATGGAAGAAGCAAAAGCTGTCTGCTCTCCTGTCCGGTTTCCGTTCTCTTTGTTTACCGACATCCATGCGGTGCGTGTTTGTGTTTTGGAGTCTTACTGCGTTGTGAATTTTCTAGCCTTGTGCCCAAATTCCTGATTAAATGGCAGGCAAAAAATCAACCAAGTCTGCGAGTGAGAAACCAAAGAAGTTTTACCTCTTGTGGTTTCCGAAGACAAATGAAGAAAAATCTACGTTTGACGTAGTCAAACGTACGTCGGTGCCCAGTGGTTATCGCGAGGTCGGCCGAAACACAAGACTACCCTATGGGAAAGGAAAAGCACAGAAATTTTATGATTGCAAGATTGTTGGTGAGGGTGGTAAGTTATTCGCGCACTTATTGTTTTGCTCGCCCCTCCCGAATAACTTCTCCCATGCACCACTAGCCCGACGGTGGCGTCGGCTGCATTACCTAACCTACAGGTGTACGATACTCAACTTTCGTTCAATTTCAGATGATGCAGTGGCACTTGGTTTTGCGAGAGTCAACGCAGAAAACGGCGAATTAATGCCACTGGAAGCCAAATGCTATCCAGAGCACATTTTGGCTTCAAAGAGGCAGGTGGACCGGGAAGTGCGGGACAACAACAAAGCATTGAAAGCTTCAATCAAGCATCAGGATGCATCTCTATTATCGCTCACCCCCGTGGTAAGTATGGCTTCAACAAAACCAGTTTCCCCTATTTTGTCTTCGTCTGATGTTGCAGGAAGCAGTGAGCCATTGGACGAGTCTCTGCCAGCCTCGTCAACCGAGTTATCTGTGGGAGATGTCAGCCAAGCGTTATGGACATCCGTACGTTATAATGGTATGTGCAATCTACCCTTCATCATATTTTTAAATCTCAATTCTGGCATTAGAGTTAGATAACAGCTTATTTTGTGTGTCATTGTTCCCAGTCACCAGCGAGGTGCAAATATTTCTGGAGGTTCTCAGTGAGGCAGCCAAAAGCTTAAGTGCTAAAAACTCAAATGCAGGCTGGCTGCATAGCATCCTTCACAATATGTGTAAATCTGCAGAAACCCAAAAAAAGGATTTGCAAGTGAGTCAAAATATATGCAGTTGTTTTCAATCCTTTATCTTTATCTGCAATGTGTGTTTAAGATTACGCTTAGAAGGCTTTGCTAACACTGTCTTGTATTTCAGTTACCAATGATGTACCTCCAAAACAGTGATGTGTGTCCTGTGAGTTGTTTTATTTTTGGGTTCGAATAGACACATCTTTTTACTGGTTTTTCATATAGACCAGATTGCAATTTAGAAAAATAAACTCGC